TAGGCAACAATTTACGTCAATATTTGCTTCTCGAAATGGGGTCATGAGAATAAACAATAACAAAGCTTAACAACCTTGAGGAAATCACCAACCAATCACAAAAGACTTAACATGTGCAAATACGATTCGGAGACATATGGCTCAACTTTCTAAGAAACGGCCACAAAGAGATGACAGAATAACCTTCAGCAACAAAAGCAACCAATGAGAAGACGGTGCTTCTCTGCTAACAATAACGCCAATAATAATGTACATAAGAATCTACGAATACCTCTCGACTTTCTCAATAAACGATCTGTTTCCTGGCCCTTGTCTTCTGTCGTCACACTAGTAGTGTCATTCATTAGGGACACTATACCAGCCTTACTACCCGTAATATTCCTAATTATCCAATCAATTAGTTCTCTATTTTGACTCGGAAATACTGTCATAAGAGAATGCGAATCACAAAGACTCATACAGCCGGTTCCCTTTGTTAGTTTGAATTAAAGAAAGAACGAACATATTAGCAGTTTTGATAATACAAGCTCGCTGTTTTTCATGAATTCTCTCTTCAACTGCCTACATTCCAAACAACAAAATCATTTAAAAGTTACGAAATAGTGTCTGAACATACTTTTTTTCCAATGACTACAGATTATAGATAGAAAGTAATATAAGCAGCATAATTTCAAAGATGTTATAAGTAGTCCAATTATTCAGTGTTAAAAGAAAGTAACTGGGAAAGACTAGAGACAAAATACAAGATAGAACAAGAGAGTGAATTGGTCTATATATTATGGTGAAGAGTTCAGGAGGGTCGTAGTGGGGTGAATAGTAAAGTAAAATTATAAAATAGATAAAATAATATAATTTAGTAGATTTAGAACCGTAGCAGTGAGTTCATTTCAGTGAGTAATAATCAAAATAAAGATTGAGTGGAATGTTATGCGACGGAATAAAACCATTACGGTTACTGTCTAAGGTAGTAAGACATTAGTCATACTATCTTTCTGTATTCATAGGTTGGATCGAAGTCTTTTGATGGTAGTGGATTCTACAAACCGAAGTAACCATGTTTTTCTTTGTGTATTGATTGATTATTTTGAAAGCCTGAATAATTTCTCCTATATGTCCCGTGTCAATTACTTGGCTGGTAACTGCACTTAAGAACACCTTGCTGGCATTCAAGTGGAGATTTTTAAGGATATGGTCGGAGAATCTAGTCGACGCTGTCCTCTCAATCATTCCCATGTACTTGCAGCCTCAAGTGCAGGTGAATTGGTAAATGCAGTTGGAATTGACATGCATAGCAGGATACTTATCTACTTTTGACTGGGTTAATGAGCACACTGTGTTGTGAAATGTTCTTTTCAATGAACCTTTAATTCTACTTTCCATTCTGATAGATACCTCTTCGCTTTTGTATGCTAGACAGATGAAAACTGGTTTCTTTTCAACTATTGGGAATTCCTGTCTAGGTGGTTTCTCCTTCTCATATTCCGATATGAACTCCCGAGAGTATCTGTTTTTGAAAAGATTATTTTCTATGATTGCGAGTTCCTCCTACATTTTATCTTCTGAACACAACACCTCACCTCTGCTGAAGATTGTTTTCACCAGGCTCGATTTGTATCCTGTCAAACCAAAGCTGTGATAATTCAAGTATCAGCTGGTCCAAGTTTAGTGTAACGACAGAAGACAAGGGCCAGGAAACAGATCGTTTATTGAGAAAGTCGAGAGGTATTCGTAGATTCTTATGTACATTATTATTGGCGTTATTGTTAGCAGAGAAGCACCGTCTTCTGATTGGTTGCTTCCTTGCTGAAGGTTATTCTGTCATCTCTTTGTGGCCGTTTCTTAGAAAGTTGAGCCATATATCTCCGAATCGTATTTGTACATGTTAAGTCTTCTGTGATTGGTTGGGGATTTCCTCAAGGTTAAGCTTTGTTATTGTTTATTCTCATGACCCCATTTCGAGAAGCGAATATTGACGTAAATAACTGCCTACAATTTTGGCTTGGAGGTAGCTCTCATCACACTAGGAAGTGGAACGGGTTGTCACGTTCATAGTCCATTGCAAATGATATACGAGGGTGAGTTGCACTGAGGTTGTTGAGCATCGTGGAAGCATGTATGCAGTTGAAGAGGATCTACAAAATAAGAGGAGCTCGTAATATCCTACAGATGTCTTCGTTCTTTCTTTATTCAAAGAGACTCAGTTATTTAGGCAACTGCTCTAATGAGCAGTATAACTGTATAGAATAAAAAGTTAATGGTTATTTTAGGCAAAGAATTTAGATCTGATCTGCCTAGTGTAGCTAAACGTACAGACTCAGAGTCTGTGCGTGTAAATAGCTTGAGAAAGATGACTTAAATGTCATGTGAACCTATCCGGATTTGTACCCCGCTGAAACGAAACTCGAAATACTTGTAAAGCATCCACAGGCCGCCTAGACGTTTACTTATTTAGTATTAAGCTGGTTTAGCTTTTAAGTCTTAATTGTAGGCCTAGGTTTTTATTTGGCACCATTGGAAGAGGTACTACAACATGTAGCCATGCATGTAGCCACATGCAGAACGTATGATATACTTTCAAAATGTACAAAACACAACACGAATGGACAAACTGTAGTTTTAAATACGTAAACTATTGAATGCATTCTGAATATATATTATAGTTTCAGTTTATTGAAATTCAAAATTTGTCGGTCGTTTCGTCCCCGTCTGGGAGTCCTCATCCCATACACACACGACCCTACTTTAATATCAAATCTCAGACCTACAGGTTCCAAGACCAAACTCGCCGCCGATTCAACCATTTAGGGTTACACCATGTGATCCTTATATTCTGACTTCCTGAAAACCACCCGTTGATGTTATAGCTGGGTGTTTGTCCATACACTAGACATAGTAGACCTCACTGATCGCTACACCTCCTCCAATAGTCAGTCATTACTGAGTTGGAGTTAAGAGGTTTCTTTACATATGTGTGGTACGCATTATTTATTATCTTTATTAGTAGTAGTATACGTTTTCGTGACTAATTTCTTATATTAGATATTCGTATAGTAAAGTTAAGAACAATTCATTTAAGCGAACAATATTGTGATTTCAATTACGTCTCATCATCAGGCTTAACTCTAATATACCTACATAACTTTACAAATAAAAATTCAAATATACACCGATCATGGTGTTTTGTCTATAGGATAATAAGATGGTGAATATAAATTGTGCAATTAGTCATAATAGTAGTAATGACGATAATAATTATTATAATAATGGTCTTATAAGTGAGACAATCTGTGATAAGACGAATAATGAAAAAAAGCAGCATGATTAAACAAACAAATGTTCAGGTGGAAGTAGTCGGAAAAGGCCAACAAAAACAAATGAACCGATTAAGTAATGTTAGATTGTAAGGGAAGTAAATGAAATGCGTTTTTAATGAAGATGTTATAAGAGAGGGATTGAAAATATAAGTAAGGGGTGGTGAAGAAGTCATCAGTTGGTTAGGTTTTATTAGGCCAACAAGGGAGGGATAATGGCTGTGTACGAACTTCTTTTGAATGCCTAGTTTAGGTTTAATAGTTCAAATGCCTATCGCCTGTTTCAGCTGTGTCCAGTAGACGAATACGAAGTCTATTGGAAAGATTAGGTGGGATACAATGGATTACTTTGAAGGCTCTCGTTTTCTCCACTACATGACCACTATCAATTAAATGTGACAAAATTGAGCTACGGACTGTTTTCGTTTGTTCTTCATCAAACTACGATGGGAGATGTTCAATAACACGTTCGTTGGCTAAGCTGTCTAGTAGTACGCCTAACATAACTATCACCACAGGTGTAGTTGAATTGGTAAATGCACACAGATGGGGCAAAACTATCTAGTTTATCCTTCGTTTGCGTCACAATTATTCGTCGGCTAGAGAATGAAAAACATAGGTTTGCCACATGCGTAAAAACGTTCTTCGTATACTCCTGGAAAGTTTCTGGAACAAAATCTCACTTGATAAGTCATCATTGAATTGTAACTTAGTAAACAGAGGTTTCTTAATTGCAGTCAGAGTCTCAGGTTTTCTCTCAAATGTTTTCATATGTTTCTTTATGAACTTACTCGGATAGCCCATCTCCGTCAAGGAATCGTGAATATATATATTCAAATTCCTTTTGTAAGAAAGAGGTCATCCGTACATATCTTTCTTGAGCTGCTCGTAAGACATTTGATAAAATTTCTTTTATATTTAGTGGGCCCTGTTAATGTGCTTTTTCTATACACGCTTCTCCTAAGTGACCCATCTTCTCGCCTACTTAGTAAGACATCCAGAAAATGCAGCTTATTCTCTTGCTTCTCTTCACATGTAAAAGAAAGTGAAGGGTGGACGTTGTTGAATGTCAGCAACAATTCGTCTATGTTTACATTCCCATTGACATATCGGTAATACATATCAACCTCCTTGATGATGTCTTCCAACTTATCCCGTTTTTCAAGTTTTGTGAGAAAGAAGCCAGCTAATAATATGGGGCCTAATATAGTGAACCACCCATGCCTATTCCACCGGTAGTATGCAGGTAGTATGAATTATTGAAAACAAAGTGAATATTCATTATGGGATAAAATTAGGAAAACTATAAACAGCCTAAAATAAACAACGATATGCACTTAAAAGGAAGAAAAATAAGAGGACGGTGGAGGGAATCTTAAATTGTCATATGATGGGTGGTTATTCATTACAGTGTTCATAAAAAATATATACATAAATATATAAACATCATTACCAGTCCTTTTGTGTGTGTACAATAAAAATTTGTCATTCAACCAATCAAAATGCAGTAAAACTATGTGCACAATTTCTTGTGCACACTGATTTGTGCGTTAATACGTCCGTGTGAAACAAGTCACTTTTACTTGAAGCAAGGCTCTATTTATATATTTATATATATATATATATATATATATATATATATATATATAGAGATACACACACCTATATGTATATATTTATGCGGTTGTACTGTGTTCCAATTACCCACGATATATTTATCTGTCTATACAAGAGTGCATGGAGATATTAAGATCAAGTCCCCGGTGGAAGACGATAAATCGAAGAATATAATATCTCTTGAAGGCACGCATCATTACATTCATAAAACAAAGCACACACAATTGTTAATCAATGTAAACAGAGTTTTACAAACCCCCAAAAAGTGAATTATTAATCATCCTACATGAACACCACTCAAATACAACAGAAAAACGTTGTTTTTGCCTTTTTTTTGTCTGACACAGGAATGAGTACAGAAAACTTGAATTAACTATGCTGTAATGTAATACTATATATTCAAGCATTATGAAACTACTATTCCTCAGCTCAGCTTTCCTACTGCTTGTATTTGCCTCAATACTTGTTACGTCATCATCATCAACATCATCCAATAATCATTCTGAGAATAAATCCATTAATTATGACAGGAATTTATTATCATTAAATGCAGTTGGAGCACCGAGAAAATTATCCCTTGAAATCGCATGTGATATATTACGTCCATGTATTAAAGCAACATGGTTACCACCGACAGATGTTATATCAACAAATGACAATACAGATACTGGTAAACTACTTGCCTATAATATACGCTATCGTGTAATCCATCCTGTTGAATTATCTGAGGCTAATATCCATAGGAAAAAGTTGAAGAATATTGATGATAGCAACGCAACTCCATATCCTAAGACGATTGAAAAAAATATTACTGGATTACAGTATACAAGTACTCCTGGGGAACATTGTAAGTTGTGGAGTGTTTTTTGTAGGTCAGTTAACATTGAAATCACTATGCTTTAACAGAAACAACGGGGATTTTTTAAATTTCAAACGGATGGTTACTGAACAAAGAATATTCTCTTCGATAATTTGCTCTGCTTCATTAGGTTCTACAGTTATATATCCATCCATAGTGGTGGGTGAATGAATTGGTGTTATTTACAATAACATTATTATTTATTATTATTTTTATTACATCCTTTAATTCCGAGAGGAACGTAGGGCTTCAGCTGAGCGTCTCCATTGCATTCAGTTCTCCGTTAGAGTTTTCACATGGCTACAAGTCTGCCCACATGTCTCCTCTTCACATGACCTCCTCCAAGTCACCCCCACACTGACGACCAACTCGCCGCTTCCCTTTGGGATTCCACTCAACCGATAGCTTGTCTACTGATGTCACTTGATGGTTTGTTTCCTCAGAGTATGGCCTCCAATCCATCTCCATTTCTTTCTGCCTATTTGTTTCACAATCAGTTCCTGCTGGGTTGGTTCGCTCATTGCCAGGGATCCCTGTTGCTGATCTTTTCTGGCCGGCCATCTGATCTTGAGTAGTATTAAGTGAAGACAACTGTTAATGATGGTCTGTAGTTTGTTTGAGGTGCTCTTTATGATGCGCAGTGCAAGTCTCTGATCCGTATAGTAGCACTGACTTTACATTGGAGTTGAAAATCCGGATCTTATTTTTGATGCTGAGTGCTGTTGACCTCCACACAGATTTGAGAGTAATGAAAGCTTGTCTTGCTTTTCCGATTCTGGCTTTGATATCCTTGTCAGTTCCGTCTGCCTTTAGTTGAAACGATGCCTCCTATTCGGGTAGGTAAAGGAGATTGTTTCTTTCAGGTTCCTCCCATTTATGCTGGCTGATTGTTGTCTGTTGTTGTTGCTGTTGCTGTTGGCCAGGAATCTTCATCACCTACCTCTGTTTTCTTTATGTTCACCTGGAGTCCTATCTTCTCTGGATGCTTCTTCTGCCAGCTTGTTGCTTTTCACTTTCATATCTTCCAGTTTGTGGGAAGTCAGACATATACCATTGGTGGTGAAGTCCAAATCCTCCAAGTCTCTTTTTGTGTGAGTCCATTTTATGCCTGTTTTCTCATTGCCCGTTGTCTGTTGCATTATTCAATCTACTGCAATCAAGAAGATCATTGGTGATAGTAGACAAACAACAACATTAACGCTGTTTAAATAACATCGAGTCAATAATAATAATAATATCAGTGGATTAGAGTTCGATAGCACCAACAAAACGATACACTGAATATCAGAGGAATTAGCAAAACTATTAATGCAAATTCATGAATTTATAGACTCTACAGAAAACCAGGGCAGTGGTAGTAGCCGGTTGGCTGAACTAGTAACATCTGCACATAGAGCGCCGGTTGTTTCAGGTGGATTGCGATAGCCTCTGCTGTTTGGAGTATGCGGTACCTGGATGTTTTTGGCAATTCACTTGGCACCCAATAGATAGTGATACAGAAGGATTCTTCAATGCCGACTTTGTGGTCATTTGGGATCAGCTGTTCTTATAACTAAATGTTGATGGTTTTTACTACACCTTTATTTAGCCATACAGGTAGATTTTCCCGAGTGAGCACGAGAAATCAAGTTTCTTAAACCGAAGGCCATTATAACTTGCTCTGCTACAAGCGCAGTTGAACTGGTAAATACAATAAGAAGAAGTGGGTACCTAGTCGAGGTACTTCATCTTTTAATCGGGGAATCACTGTCAGTCGTGTAGGAAATACGACTTGCAGTTTACATGCATTAAAAGTTCTTTGAACTGATTTCCTTGAATAGTTAGCAACATTTCAATAGGTGCGTCATCCTTGAACTACAGTCGTGTTTATCAAGGTGATGATGATGTTATCGAAAAGAATATTCTTTGTTCAGTTACTATTGTTTTGAAAAATTTAATAAACATTTTTAATCAGTTAAAATGCTGTTTTTTCCAAAAAATCCGGAATAGTTTGGTCACGAAATGGTTTGAGTTAGAAAATCACTGGACACCAGAGCGGGGGAAGGGCAAGTTTGTTAGATAGATGTTTCGTCGTCATTTGGAGCTGTTCAGGAGTACACGTCCATGACGCTACTAAGGACATTAGTTAGCGACCAGCGTAACGTCTCTAGTCCTATCTTCGGTGCACACTGAATCCTGTCAATGAAGTTTGCTAAATGGCCTCCATACCACTAGATAGCTCGCCATTACGGCGCACTTTAAATTGTTAATATTAGATGGTTGGAGACAATCGGCAGGAAGCCTTAGATGGTTTCCTGCTAGTCGGCAGTCACCAATCAGTCAGCAAAGCATATCTGCAACCGCCTTGCAAGGAACTCATGTCCCTTTTGAGATTCTAACCCGCATCACGTAGTGAGTGCTGCAGTCAGGGACGTTACCACTGAATCTCAGAAGGTATATGAGTTCCTTCAAGGCGGTTGCAAATACACCATGGTGACTGGCTGGTGAGTGCCAACTAGCAGGAAACCAAGGTGATATCTAAGGCTTCCTGACGATTGCCTCCAACCATCTAATATCAACAATTCAAAGTGCACCGTAATGGCGAGCCACCTAGAGTGACATATTGTCAACATTGCAAGGGCTAATATAACTCACTCCACCACAAGCTCAGTTGAATTGGTAGATACAATTAGGAGAAGTTGTTGGCTAGTCAGGGTACTTCTTTCAATCGAGGTATCAACATCAGTCGTGTAGGAAATACGACTTGCAGTTTAGATGCATTAAAAGTTCTTTCAACAGGTTTTCTTAATTTGTTAGTAATTATTTCACCAAGTGCGTCATCCCTGAATTATAGTCCCTTTTATCAACGTGATGATGATGTTATCGAAAAGAATATTCTTTGTTCAGTAACTATTGTTTTGATAAAGAATTAATAAGCATTTTTAATCAGCTGGATCAAGAACTAATTTCATTTGGAGAATTGCTGAAAACTGGAGGAGGAGGAGCTGAGGGGACACAGGCGGTTACCGGACAGCTATTTTGTCCTCATTTAGAGCTGTTGAGGAGTATGCATCCATGACCCTAAGAGAGACTGAGCCTATAACCTTCAGGCTGCAAGGCGAAATCTCCCACAAACCGACACTTGAAATTGAACGAATGTTTTGAATGTGTTTTTAGTTGTGTTTTCTTTTCATGGAACATTTGCTCCCTTTGTTGATATCAGATGGTTGGAGACAATTGGTAGGAAGCCTCAGACACAACCTAGGCTTCGTGCTAGTTGGCACTCACTCGTTCTGAGACTCCGTGGAAACGTCTCTGATAGCAGCAGTGCATGATGCAGGTTTGAATTTCACAAGGGAAATAAGTTCCTTCAAGGCGGTTGCAAAAACGACTTACTGACTGGTGTGTGCCGACCGGCAGGAAACCCGGTTGGTGTCCAACAATGTTATATCAAGAATTATTTTATATTGCGTGTATGCCTAGATAGATTCAAGAACATTTACCATCCTGATTTACAAAAAGGGTGAAATTAAGTACATAAAAAAATCCAATTCTACCACACTTTGTAGACATAGGACACCACTTAGATGCTGATATAATCTGCAAGGTAATATACCACATTCTGTACTTCTCTTAAGTCTTCTGTACACAACTGGAGATAATGTAAACCAGGACTTTAAGCCTAAAAGCATACATGGCATTCAAGCATTTATAACGAGACTAAACTTACAGTGAAATTCCTCCTCCCCGGCAAAGGTTTATTTGCCTCTTATTTCTCAATTTTTATGTTTTTTTTTCCAAACAGCTTCAGTCACAATATCTTATAATTTATACCTTTTATTATGACATTCTTCAAACACTACTTACTAAGTTTTCCATAAAAGTAGGCATTAACAAACTATTCTCATTTATTAATAATGATACTATTTCCTTTCTCAATATATATAACTCTGTCTGGTTCATTTCACGGTAAACTATACTCAAGAGTTGACCAGTTTCTTCAGGTTTTGACCACGGATTGATATCAGTTACAGAACCAATGAAAACTGGAATACGGGACAGCCAGCTGTTTCGACAGGCTAGTTTGCAACCACCACCGGGGTTTGAACCCAGGACCTTGCGGTCACAAGGCAAGCTAGCTCGTAGACCATTCAGCCAATAGGACCCAATTCAATCGCAGGCGCATGAATTCTAACTTCTACCAATTGGTGATGCATTTAGCGCGAATTTCACCAACCAATGTCATCGATGGGAAATTCATTCTCACATTTGATTGGTTGGACCTCAATCTTCACAACTTCTCACTAGAACTAACTCCAGGAGACTCCATCCTATAGGAAATCAGTAGCGATTTGAAGTTTTTGAAAATTAATCTGATGCTTGTTAGTGAGTGACTTGTGGCAGGATGCAGTTTCCTGAAGTTCTAGGGAGAATTCGTGACTAGTCAGGTCCATCCAGTCAAGTGTGAGGATAGATTTCCGGCCGATGATAGTGGTTGATGGTCGCGCTATATGATGCATTGGTGGAAGTTAGAGTTCATGGGCTTGCCATCGGGGAGTTGGGTGCCAGTGGCTGAATGTGTATGAGCTAGCTTGCCTTTGTAACCGGTGGTGGGTGGGTACTGCCCATGATTCCTAAACTAGGATGAAACAGCAGCTGTCCAGTATTCCAGTGATGGTTTTCACTGGTTGTCTAACTGATATGAATCCTTGGTCAATTGCGTAAAAACAAATTCAATCCTTACAAATTAACTCTTGAAAATTTTTATTTGGACTTTGAATTTGATTATTTCCTTTAAATGTTATGATGGTTTTATTGAATTGGCTATTGCAAACATCATGACAGTGAAGAATGATAATTTGATAGATGTTGACATTTTCAGTAATATTTGAGTTATAAGATATTTAGTGAATGATTCCCTTGGATAACAGATTAAGAAAGGGCTGAGGGAGAATACTGGGTTGTATGAATTTACTTGCCTTCAATATCTAGTTGATATTGTTGTAGGG